TCCCACCTGCCCGGAATCGATGATCGTGGTTGTTGAAACGGTTTTGGCACTGCAAGAAGAGAATAGTGTCACCGGGACACGAAACTCGTTGGATTTCCCAACAGCTTTAGTATACAATGCGCAGATGGAGGAAATTGACCGTTCGACAATCCCTCGTTTCAAAAATCCTTCTGGTTGACTCGGTTGACCCCCAGGTCTTCCTCGTCAGAAGACTCGTCAAGCTGGCAGACGCCAGACTTGCTTGGCTTCTTGCCAGTGTCTTCTTCATCGTTCTTGTCTCCTCGGCGCACCTTCGGGTGGAACCGGGAGTCGTTCGCTCGGTGGCCTTTCTTCTGACATTTGAAGCAAAGGCCTTGGTCGAAGCAGTCTTGCTTCTCCTTCGGTGTGAGGGTGCGATCCACGTCCATGGCGTTAGGGTCACGGTGCTGAACCTGAGGCCTAGGGATGTGCCGGTGTAGGGATTCATTTCTGGCTAGGCTTGGAGAGACTGTCTTTACCTTACCTTATGTTGGCACTTTGTAGCTTACATAATGAAGTTACCTTTTCACCAGTTCTACTATGAGTCTGAGTATTCAGCAAGTTTCTATCATATTTCCTCTTCTCTGAGCCTTGAGCCTGGTCCAGAAACCCTTTAGGGTCGAATAGCAGCTAGGTTCTGCAAGACCCAACATTGTTCAGACTCACCATCTGAATTGTTGTACCTTCAACTGGAGCCCACCGCGAGGGTTTCTTGTGTTTCTAGGCTCTTCCAGCTCTCCAATCATCCCCCAAATTCGCCTATTATCCTACCACAGTCATTCCTTATCAGCTTCTCCCATATTCCCAAGTTTTCAGCATCTTGTCCTCCTCCCCAGCGCATTGATAAGCGTTTTTCTCACGCGTTTTTCGAGCGGATCTCTCGCAAACTTAGGGTCGTATTCCCCACGTCCGTCCGGTCATTTTGAGCCCTGGCTCATCGAATTTGGAGCAGTAGTTGTGGAGTTATCGAGTTTTTGGTGTTTTTGAGAAGTTGAGGGGAGATAAGGGTTTTCTGGGTGCTCAAAGGCCTGTCTCTTTTAGCTCTTTTGGCCATTTACCATCCTTCAGTGGCTCTGTCCATTGCCCCAATCTGCTTCTTGATAGGACCGGCCCTTGTTGCCCTGCACCATACCCCTTCCTCCTCCTCCCTCTTGCACCTCCGCACTTTTTCGCACTTTCACCAGCCCATTTCGCATTGGAACCCCCTCGACCCTATACCCGTTTTGAAGCCCCCGTTCATGGCTTTCATTCGCGCCCATCAGCGCCACGATCCGACATGCCGTTCGCCCACCATTCACGTTTTCCGTCGCCCCCCATTTTATCGCACCTTTTCCACCATTTTATCTATATCTCCTCACCCTTTGATCGCGCACCTATCGACCCTATACTCATTCTGACCGCATTCGCCGCCGCTTTCCATCCGTCCGATCCGCTTCCAGATACGTCCGCGCGTTCCTCCGCAATCCGCCATTCTCGCGTTTCCCTCCCTTTTCCATCATTCTTTTCATATCTTGCTCAGTTCTTGACCAATCCTAGTCGACCCTATACTCATTTCGAAGCCCTCGTTCGCCCCTTTCGATCCGTCCACTCCCCGTCGTCATCCATGCAACCATCATCGCATTTTACATCACTTTATCGTCGCTGCTCCTCCAGTACTCAAAGCAAAGTCTGGAGATTATCGTTTTATTGCATTGCCTGACCCTCACTCACTGGCGCAGTTTACCTGGCATACGCGTCAAGGAAACAAAAGGTGTTTGAGGACCCCCAGGTTAGTTTTCTTAGTTTAGCTTAGCTTTGGTTTGCATAGGTAGATGACTGGGGACAGTCATGATTCAAAGTTCCCATGAGATGTAGGGATTCATTTCTGGCTAGGCTTGGAGAGACTGTCTTTACCTTACCTTATGTTGGCACTTTGTAGCTTACATAATGAAGTTACCTTTTCACCAGTTCTACTATGAGTCTGAGTATTCAGCAAGTTTCTATCATATTTCCTCTTCTCTGAGCCTTGAGCCTGGTCCAGAAACCCTTTAGGGTCGAATAGCAGCTAGGTTCTGCAAGACCCAACATTGTTCAGACTCACCATCTGAATTGTTGTACCTTCACCGGTTACCCGTAGGACGCAGTGGTCGGGTGTTGGCAGTAATCGCCCTGCCACGCTTGTAGTTGGACTCAAGCTGTGTGGCTGAGGCGTACCACTTGTCGATGGTGGTGGGGACGGTCTCCTTCGCGTAGATCGCGGTGCGAAGTCCGGCCTTTAAACCTCGCTCAAAGAAATGGATGAGCGTGATGTCCTGCTTGATGCTGGCAGTGACAGCATAGGTTTTGAAGGCCGCGATGTAGGGTGTGACGTCCCCAGTCTGTACGAGGCATTGGATCTTGGTCATGGCCTCGGTTTGTCAGTCGATAGCCTGGAAGGAGGCGTTGAACTGGGTTTTGAAGTCCTTGAAGGCGCCAAAGTCCGTCAGCGTCTTGGAAAAGGCTTCCTGGTAGAAGTTGTCTGCCCAGATGCGTGCGTCCCCTCCAGTCATATATTGGAGAGCAACAGCGACCTTGACTTGGTCGGAGTTGTAGATTGTCGGGTTGATTAGGAAGTAGGTCTCCACAGAGTAGAGCCATCTCGCAGCATCATCGATGCTGCCTTCGAAATTCTGGGGCGATCCAGCCTTGATCTCAGGTCTGGTCGTCGTCGTAGTTTGGGTGGGGCCTCCAGACATTCTTGTTCTGGGGTTCGAGTTGAGGTTGCCGTACGGATGTTCGTCGGGAAACTCGTCAGAGGACGTGTGGTCTGCTTCTGATTCTTCGGTTTCGGAGTCAGGAGTGTTGGGGTCGCGTTCCCAAGGGTACTTCCTGATCCAGGTAGTCATGGTGTCTGTTGGTCAATGGGGGGGCCGCGCGGATGGCGGGGCTTCGAGGTGAAACTTGAATCTTTTGTTACGCACTCAAATAGATCTGTTAGGCGGAGCCCTAAGAGGGGCGTCGTCCGCTAACGTTCGTGACGTAACCGGAAGGATCCGGTATAGCAAGTGAGACTGGCGACGACGAGTCGGCAGCGATCACAGTACGCGCGTGTCACGTGACTTCGTAGACGGATGTCTGTGAAGTCGCTCAAGGTAAGGACTGTCTTGTCTGTACGATGAGGTCAATCGAGGTAGACTTAGTCGCGATGAGTGACTAAGAAAAGATACTAGAGACTGAAGCTGAGGGGGCTTCAGAGAGAAGTATGTTCCAGGGAAGATTGAGTAGATTCAAGTTAGAGAATCTAGTACAGAGTGACCGACTACTTATACTAAGTGGAAAGGGTTAAGGGCAAGGCTACCGCACAGTTGGTAAGGGTAAAGGGGAAACAGGAATGGTATAGGTGCGCTGGCATCAGAGCTGGATTAATGATGGATGGTCGAATGTGGAATGAGACCGAGAAACGTTGGAACGGACCAACGGTAAGAATACAATGTGCGGGAATCCGCAGTCAGGGGAAACAGAAAGAGGAAAGCCACATTGGTGGCACGAGTCAGACCGAGTCAAAGGTGCGGGACCACATTGGTGGTCGAATCAGAAGAGGAACGTGCATGCACATGCATAGAGGCGGGCGATGCGAGGGACGGGAACGGTCCCGAGGATCCGATCAACGGAAAGGCGGTAAAGGAGGATGAGCCGGTAGATGGTGAGGGCGAGGATGAGGGGAAAATGATAGGGGGGCCACGTGACCGATGTTACTTGTAACAGATGGGCCATCTTCAAAAAATTCCACCAGAGTGCCCTCATGTGATGTGACAGTGGGAGGATCATAATGTGTCACTTCTCCAGAAGAATTGGTGCCTCCACTGGCAGCAACAGAGTCATTTGAGCTACTGGACGGGCCACTTTCGTCGGCGAGACCAGGTGCAAGCGAGCTGGTGTCTTTGGAAATGTCATGCATGATGGCCTGGTGTGGTGCGGCAGTGCGACGGGAAGTGCTGGCAGGTTTGGACATAAAATACGACAGTACAATCATAACCAAGACACTGGGGACCTCCAAACACGATCCCAGCGAGTATTTGTAAATATATATCTGGATTGTTGTCGATGTTGAACACAGGGGACACCAGCCCCCCAGAACGGTCGTACAGATGGACGCGAAGGTCGCGGTATCGATTACAAAAGGACAATAGCAGTACAAAACGGCGCCATGGCTGTCCACAAAACAATAGGTAAGCTTTGGTGTCCATGGAACTGCCAACACGTGCAGCAGGCTGGTAAGCGCTGAACATGAGTTCAGCGCATACCATGAAATTGTTCCAGCCCAGCTGGATGACATGGTCGGATAGGACTGAGTCAGGCTTTCGCTGGATATCTTGAGTTGGAACTGCGTGGGTTGCAAATTCTGAGTACCAAACACGCGATGCTTGAGTAAGTTGTTTGAGGTTGGGATTCGCGATCGATAAGGCCTCTGAGACAACATTGAGATAAAGACCAAAGGAAGACTCATTTGTCTCCTGGGCTCCCTACCAACGTGATTTGATCAGTATCTTACTATTTGTGAAAATCTGCATACGTACTGCTGGAGTGATCCCTGATGAAGGGAAGTCCCAATTCCAGCATTTCGAATTGATATCATACAAGGGCACCATGTCATCGTCTTTGAAGTTTTGAAAGTGAACCTTCGTTGTTTTGCTACATCGCAGCTTTCCCAACTTAATTTTCAGCTCACTTGCAAGTGGAACATTGTCTAGTTGAGCAAATGATTTGAAGATCAGTGGTAGATAATGACCCAGCCCAGTTCCTTTTGAATCTTCATGAGTGACCAGATGATCAAGCTCTTTGCTGGTGAGCTTGTTCATAGTTGTAACATTATGCGAATGGGGCATGACAGGAAACAATCCCAGTTTTATCGTGGGCGCAACGGTTCGGGCTACTATGACCATGATGATGGATGTAACTAACGAAGACTAATTTTACGAAAACTTGTCCCAATTTGATAAAATATTATGTAGATAAGGAGAAAAATAATTGTTTGTTCCAGTATTTGTTTAGCCAAAACTCCGAGCAGTATTCCATGCAGTTAGAAGTAGTGAGACGGTTATCTGCAATGCTACCAAACCGAGGTATGAGGTTATAGGAGACCTGACCTGGGACAGTAAGATTACATCGCCAAGGCGAGTTCCATTCGACCTCTTAGCCCTCTTGAAGACGTGTAGCTGTGTAGTTGGGTCACGACCATCAGATCCCAACAGTGTGACAGAATCAAAGCGATGAACGTAAGTGAGGAAGCAGTCTTGCAATGCATTCCCTGTGAGAAGCCTCATAATGAGCCTGATTTGAACCACGCTATGACCTAAGGGGAAAAAAAGTTGACAAAACACTCATGGATTATGTGTGAACGTACCTTGAAACCCACTGGCAGGCCACGAGAAACCAGCGCAGATATTAATGAGAACAGTATCAAAGTGGCCCCAGGGCCATACATCACAAGGGGGTGTGCAATTGAGCATTTGCGCAGGTTGTATAGCACTGGAATCATGAAAGTCTGTGTCTTGCAAGCGCAGTTTGAACCACACTTGCAAGTTGTCAAATGGAAGTTGTATGTCAGGTCCAGCCCTTCACGCCCCACCTACTGGATGGACATGATGTTGCCCATGAATACCGTGGCGGTAGAGAAAATCAGCGATGGCAGGTCGTAAGTCCGGAAGACCAAATTTTACAGCTGCCTCATCAACAGCGATACTTCTGATTGATGGACTGTAAGCAAGATGGAATGCTGTCCGTCCAACAGTGAACGTGCGTAATGGTCGAGGGACGGTGCCAACATCCTTGTGGCGTAAACTGTTTGCAACCATGAAATAATTCATGATTGGCCGTGAGCGACCAGGGAAAGCAACAGTGGATAAGAGGTCCACTGGTATATCTTCATCAGCATCACCCTTGTCACCCTTGTCACCCTTGTCACCCTTGTCACCCTTGTCACCCTTGTCACCCTTGTCACCCTTGTCACCCTTGTCACCCTTGTCACCCTTGTCACCCTTGTCACCCTTGTCACCCTTGTCTCCCTTGTCTCCCTTGTCTCCCTTGTCTCCCTTGTCTCCCTTGTCTCCCTTGTCTCCCTTGTCTCCCTTGTCTCCCTTGTCTCCCTTGTCTCCCTTGTCTCCCTCATCACCCTCATATCCCTCGTCAACTTCAACCACAGTTGTTGATCGTAGCTTGTCGTGATCGAGTAGACTTGTTTCAAGGTCAAAGCGATGGCACTCCTCCTCACGATCAAGATGACGGCAAATTTGCGGGTCATAATTATTATTGTTGCTCGACCGAGCTGGAACTTTAATGACAGTGATATGAGCGTGTTCTGTTGCATCCGCAGTCCACTGCATGGGGACACCAGTATTGCGGATGCTCGGGACAATGCTCTGCATGAACTCGAGTTTGGGGATATGCCAGTTGGTGATGACCTTTTTACCCTCCCACGACGAAGACCGGCAGTGATGATGGCGTCTTGTGGGCATGGAAATTCATTGAGTGCAGCAGAAATACGCTCAAGGCCCTCATCGTTGATTCGGCTAGCTTGCACAAGATACCGGAAGTCCATGAGAGCACGTACGGCAGTAAGGACGCCTTGAGGTGCAGCATCAGCGCAGACCGCAATGATATAGCATTGGATGTTGCATTGGACACCGGCCAGTGACTTGTTTTAACTTTGAAATACCTCCATGGAAATGTTGCAACCCAGTAGTGCGAGGTAGGACGGAAAAGCGAAAATCAATCTCAGATTCCCCAAGAGCATTAATGAGCCATTTCACATCATGATCCCAAAACTCCCAGTGTACGTGGTGCAGGAGTTCAGGAGTGAAGAAATGGGATGGTTCGGCCAGAATCCAATCGCGCCAAAATGGCTCAGCAACTCCATTCAATCAAAATTCTGCGCTTCATGGAAAATGCTTCAAGATCAAGGGGGTCAGCCCACGTATAGACAACTTTGAGTTGTGCGAGAGTGATGGACTTCGTTCAGGGTTCATGTCGAAAAGCATCCCCAAACTGCTTAAACATTGCCATGGTCAATGGCGATGTCTTACCCCCAACAGCACATAACATCATTGCTTCCGGGGTGTCAGCAATATAACTCGCAAGTCCTGTATAGCAGTGCCAGCTATTACCCACGGGATCCGACATCATGACTCCAACACGAGCGGCTCTCTTAAGCGGTTCAAGAACGATGTCTAAGCACTGGTGTATGAGGCAGTCCTCCAGTACACCCCCACATGTGTTTTCTTCTTGTGAATGAATTAGGCACCGGTGTAGAGACTCAATGCCTCTCATTGTGCAATATGGCAGTTTTCACTGGGGAGTACATGGCACGAACTTGTAGCATCACTCTGTGTGCTACCTGCAGCTATCTCTATATGAGGCGCAGCTTTCCCGCACAACGCGCGCCATGCGCGCGTACCTTTCCCGCGCTTCACGATGTATATGCGCGCGCGCTTTCCCGCGCTGTAGCGCCCTATAGCGCCAGCCATCCGGAAGCATCCATCCACTGTCCACCAATTCCCTAGTGCGTATATTTCCATTCTCACA